CTGACCAATTAAACATAGTTTGTTTTTTTATATATACAACTAAGCAAATGTCCATTATTCCAGAATTTGGGATAAAAAAATATTGTATAGGTACCATATAGTACATTATACTATACGTCTATGATACTCTATAAAGGTATGACTATATATGTATAGGTACATCATCATGTTTGTGGTTTGTACTTTGTATTCATCTATAGCGTCGTTACTTGTAATTATAATATCTTGAATCCAAAAAATACATTTAATCCTAATACCTATAATGTATAATAAATTATTTAAATTTAAAATTATCCCTTATGGAAACATGGTATAAAAATTGGAGATTTAAGGTAAACCAAACCAAATCTAATCACACAAATTTTATCCTTAAGCTAGGACACTGTCCACCAGTCACTCTCTATGGCACTCAAATTCCGTCTACTCCAACAGTAAAATATCTTGGCTTAACCCTTGACCGTAAGCTAACATGGGCCCAACATACACGTGTAAAAAAACTTCAACTAATTCTGTGACTTCGTATGCTTAAATCTTTACTAGTCAATAACAATAACACACCAACCTTAATATAAAACTAATAATGTATAAATCCCTCATCAAACCCATTTGGACCTATGGTCTCCAACTCTGGGGAAATGCAAAAAAATCAAATACAAATCGTATTCAGGCTTTTCAAAATATTACATTAAGAAAATTAACGAACTCCCCCTCTTATGTTTCTAATCATACCCATCAAACGGACCTGAAAATGAAAACTGTAAAAGAAGATGCAGTCACTTATTATAAAAGATTCCATAATCGGCTTGCAACTCATTCCAATCCTTTAATTAAAGCTCTTTCAGCAATTGTTATTCCGGATAATCATCCAAGGCGTTTAAAACGCAACTGGTGTAGAGATATGCTAACTTAATATTATAATATAAAAAACAAATAAATAACTAAATTCATATATATAAATTAATGTATAACCTCAATTTTCAAGTGTCATCACTGGGTGGCTGCTTTTATCAAGCCTTTTCATGTATTATATTTATCTCAGCTAATACTCTATAGGTATTGAAATCATGATGTAGGTACATATATTGTGTATATAATAATAAAGGAAAAAAAAAATTTAAAATTGGAAAACGTTTGGAGGACATCGCAGTCACGCCCACGTTTGAAAGCATTATAATTATACCAATTTCCCTTATTATACAGTCAATTTACGAACAGCACTCGTTAGTTTCATTTGTTTTAATATTAGAATATTGAGTGAATCGACCTGTTTTAAAATTTAAAGGTACCTATGTAAAAATAGTATCTATTATTTATGGTGGTTAATTTCTGATCTTTTAATTTGAAAGGGAGTTATGACTATAGTCTATAGCTCAATAGATGCCAGGTAGTATGTTGTCCTCGTCCTCACTAGTAATAAGAGGACGTCACAAACTCACAACCACTGACCGAGTTATCTTTGAGTGAATAATTGTCTTATTATTAAACTAAAAATTAAGAATAAAATCTGTGTTTGTGTGTAGGTTTTTAATATGTCAGCATTAAGCGAATTAAGAGTAAGTATGTAAAGTATTGTAATTAAAAATGATCACAACTCGCTTAAAAATAAAAATATTGTAATGACCTACTTACAAATAACACCTTTAAGTTTGATAATAAGTCAACTGACTCTAATAAGTAATATTAAAGTTTAGGTAAAAGTATAAAATTGTTTATATTGTACGCAGATTTGATGTTGTACGATCTTAAGACGGAGACAACACGTCGTTGTGTGATGTCCACTAAATAGTAGGTATACCTCATATATTCAGTTATGTACTTATGTACGATATTAAAATTTAAAGGTAATCAATTAATAATGAACAATTAATCAGATATTTTATACAATTTATGAGGTATTAAAAATAATATTTTGAGAAAAATCGAAAGATAAGACAATTAGGTACCTAGGTATGTAAATTGTAAACACTAAATACGCGTACCTATAGGCTATAGGTAATTAACAACTGACGATGAGGTGATACGATCCATAGATCAGAATACTACATTACTACGTACCTATAATATGAAAAATAAAATAACAAAAGATATCGATTTAGAGTTTTGACCTTGATAAAATAATCGTTTGGCATTTAGGTTTCATGAGGAAATTATTACTAAGCAAACAAATATATTTATGTTGAATATTTTATGTGGTTAAGTCGATCAATAGTAAAATATATATGAACACAATTCAATATAATAGAACGATGTAATAATACATTTTCTATACCTACCTAGGTATATAGTAGGTGCAGGCTATGATTATTGATTAGGTAAGTATACGGTGTACCATACTTATATATTATAATATTATTATGGTAACTTCTAATATTCTATGCCACGAATAAAAATTATATAAAATACTAGCTGAATAACCCAAAAAATGTTGATTGATTTAAGTTAACTGCTTTTGGGTATAACTCACTGTGCATATGGAAGAAAAATCATATTATATTTTAATTTTTAGCCATCGCGCGTGGAGTTGCCCGTGAAACTCACTTATGGATATGTGAAGTGTGAACAGTATATTGTCATTTATCAGGTAGGCAATCCTGCGGTAGATTGCGGACACAGCAAGGTGGTTGATAAAAAAAAACATATATTACTATATAAATTATAAGTATATCTTTGTAGTTAAAAAGGTGGGTAAGTGGATGTCGCTCTGCTGTACTGTAGGTTACAAGTGGGTCACTGTATAATGGATGGTATTAAATTTGAATGCAATGATATAATATCATTGTATAAGAAAAACGATTCTGAGCGGAGACGGTATGTCAGTCTTGGTATAAGACATATTATATACTTTTCTATGGTATTAAATTATATGGAATTTATGAATAAATTCCTTAAAATATGCACAGTCTTATCATGAGCATAATTCTTATTCCTTATACTATGGTAGATTGTATGGATAGGCCATAATATTTTGATTTTTCAGTTTCATATATCCCCGAATAATATTTTTAAATTACAACAAAAACAAAGATCGTTAATATTGATTTTAATAGGTATGTAATTTCGTCCAAATTTGAATTTAAAATGTCTGTAAAAAATAACTGTGTTCATATATTTTTTAGATTTTTTGGTTACAGTATGAACTATTTATGAGAACCTTTGTTTTAGATTTGCAATCTTTAGCTATAAAAACTGAAAATGTCCCTAAACAGTTCAAAATAAATCAAAATATTTTGAAAATGTTATCATGTATAGAAAATGCAAATATAAACAACCAGTGAAAATTTCATGTATCTACGGTCATTTGTGTTAAAGTTACACCAAAAACCAAATTCAATTTTCTGAAAAATCGATTTTGCTTAAAAATTCCCGTTTTTCCTTAATTTTTCTTTTGTTTTTCTTGGCGCTTTTGAAAAGTACTGTGAATTTTAAATTTTGACCTCCCCAATGCACCAACGATATTTACTTTCCAATCGAACAAGATACTGAAGTCGAAAATCGAAGCATTATTTCGACTACTTATCGTGTACACAGACACAAAAAAAAAAAAAAAAAAAAAAATATAAAAACACACATCATTGTAAAATCAATACATTCATCGTTGAACTCAGAATCTAAAATAATGTTTATACAGTGTACCTAAAATAGTATTGAAGTCATAGTTGATCATCCCGAATTTTTAGGAGTGTTTAATATTTATATATTATGGGGGTCGTTTTGTTTAAATTTATTTCATTTTATTTTGAAATAATTATATTATATAATAATTTTATTTCGTTTAAATCGGCGTAATTGTACCTAGATTTGTGAAATAACTCTTATATAATGTAACAAGCAACCAAAGGCAACCATTAATAAACAAAAAAAAGTTTCAATTTCCACAGTGAATCTTAAGATTCCTGTTTGACCACCTCTTTAAAATATAAATATTAGAAAATCCTTTCTTATTGCACATCTAGATCATTAAAGGAACCACTATTCCAAATATCAATAGTAGGTACATTTTGTATTTTAAAACCAATGTTGTATATTTAAATTAGATATTGCTTGATAGATGGCGCCACTATTGTATTTTGCACAATCCCTTATTTTCCCCTTTAGGGGTCGAATTTCCAAAAATATTTTCTTAGCGGACGCCTACATCATAATATCTATGTGTATGCCAAATTTCAGCACGATCCGTCCAATGGTTTGAGTTGTGGGTTCATAGGCGCAAATAGGAGGGGGGCTAGGGGGCTTTAGCCCCCCTTGAAGTTTCTATAGCCCCCCCAAAAACTAATGATTTCACTACTATAATTTTTAAAGCATCATAAGAGTTTCAAGTATAGACCTGAGCTTCAGCCCCCCCCCCAAATTTCAAACACTATTTACGCCAATGTGTGGGTTGATAGAACAGTCAGTCAGCTTATTGTTTTATACCTACAGATAACGTATTGAGAAATGTTCTGGAAAAAATAGTAAAACTGTTTATGAATATAAATATAATAACATTTATTTAAACTTATAGGTATCTAATTCAAAATAATTCAAAAATTAAATTGTCGAAGGACGGCTATGTACCTATATTTAGTCTTTAGATAAAGCATAATATTATAAATATAATTTATGTATACACAAATACACAATACGTCAATACACATATCGACTATCGATGTATCATGGCATAATATAGCATAATTGTTATGATGTTGGCAACACTGTATTTGTACTTGTGTTAAGCTTACTATTAATTTGTTAGTTTATTATGTATGTACGTAACAGTTGTTGACTTGTTGTCATGATGTAAAATAAAAGGAATACATGCTTAACCAGAAAATGAATAATTAAGTTTTGTAATTACCTCACGACATTCCAAATGGCGACGAAGATAAATATACAGCGTTAAAAAATAAACAAATCGTCAATCAAATAAAAGGCTGTAAGCGAGAGTCTGAAGGCAGACGGTAGTCAAGGTGACGTACCACGTGCAGCAAAACAAGGTAGTTCAAGGAGAACACAACTTAAAGATGACGGGTGTTATTGGATCATTGGCGGAGTTCCAAATGGATGGAGACTGGTCAATTTATCAAGAAAGAATGGAACAATTTTTCTTAGTTAATACAATACCGGAGGAACGCAAGGTACCGTTGTTAATTACATGTATTGGGGAAAAAGCATACAAAACACTAAAAGATTTGTGTGACCCTTTAATGCCATCCGAAAGACCGTATAAGGAACTATGTACTATATTAAATAGGCAGTTCTCTCCTAAAGTGTCAGTCTTTAGACAGCGGGAAGAATTTTATAATTTAAGACAAAATTCTAATGAAAACGTAAAGGATTGGTATGCAAGAATAAAAAATTCGGCAACAACATGTAAATTTGGAAAAGGATTAATTGATGTTCTTAGAGACAAGTTTATAACTGGTATGAGAAATGGACAAATTAAAGACCGGTTATGCGAAGAAGAAATATCTAAAGAGCTAAACAAAATAGTAGAATTAGCAATGCAGAAAGAAGTAACCATGCAATCAAATGTTCCAGTGGAAGTACACAAAGTAAAAAAATGGAACATATCAAAGGATGTCAAGAAAAAAGTTGGAGCATCAGGATATGGGCAAATAACAAATAAGAAAAAACCAACAGACTTTTCAGACAACAGTAAAGCAGCAGGTCAAGGAAAATGTTTTACATGCGGATTAAGTAACCATACGTTTAGTAATTGTAAGTATAAAACTTATAAATGTAAAATTTGTAATAAAATAGGACATTTAGCTAAAATGTGTAAAAACAAATCAAAAAACCATTATGTAGAAGTAGAAACTGAGTCAGAATCAGTAGAAATGTTTCAATTAAAAGTAGGTTATCAAAAAAGTGTAGAGCCATATTTTGTGAAAATTAAAATTGAAGAAATATACATTGATATGGAATTAGACTCTGGGGCAGGAAGATCTATAATTCCTTTTAAATTATATAAAAAATATTGGTCTAAATTAAAAGTCATTCCTAGTTTAATTAAATTAAAAACATACAATGGAGAAATTATAAATCCAGTCGGAGAAGTTATGGTTGATATGGAATATAAGAATAAGAAGGAACAATGTAATTTACTAATAGTAGAAAATGGATGTAGAGCTCTATTGGGAAGAGATTTAATGAGTTTATTTGGTATACAGTTGGTGGATGTATCAAATATTACAGTAAATAATTTAGATTTTGGTGTAAAAAAATTGTTAAAAGAATTTGAGGAATTGTTTAAAAATAAATTAGGAAAGTATAAACAAGAAAAAATTACCTTAAAAATAAAAGAAGGAGTAATGCCAGTTTTTTGTAAACCAAGGTCTATTCCATTTGCATATATTGAAAAAGTCGAAAGGGAACTTGAGCGTTTGGAAAAAGAAAATGTGATTGAGAAAGTGGAAAATGCCCAATGGGGTACACCTCTAGTGCCTGTGATTAAGCCAAATGGGACAGTAAGGTTATGTGCAGATTATAAGACAACTATAAATAAGTATTTAGAAGATTATAACTACCCATTACCGAAAGTCGAAGAACTGTTTGTAGCTTTGCAAGGAGGAAAATTTTTTAGTAAGTTAGATTTTATAAACGCTTATAATCAATTGGAAATATGTGAAGATACTCAAAAGTTATTAGCATGGAGTACACACAAAGGTATATATAAAGTAAAGAGATTGCCTTTTGGAACAAAACCGGCTTGTTCAATTTTTCAGCAAGTAATCGAAAAAGTCCTACAAGGTTTAAAAGGTGTAAAAAATTTTTTGGATGATATCATTGTAACAGGAGTAGACGATGAAGATCATTTGAACAATTTGAGAGAAGTTTTTAAAAGATTACTAGATGCGGGTTTTAAACTAAATGTGAATAAATGTTGTTTTTTTCAAAAGCAAGTAAATTATTTAGGACATGTAATTGATGGGGAAGGAATAAGGAAAGATAAAGATAAAGTAAAAGCTATAGTTGAAGCAAGAATACCACAAAATGTGACAGAGGTTAAAGTTTTTGTAGGTATGATTAATTACTATGCCAAATTTATTCCAAATTTGTCTACACTGTTAGGTCCTATGTATAAGCTATTAAAAAAAAATATAACATTTAAATGGACAAACCAATGTAATGAAGCTTTTAATAAGTCCAAGGAAGCAATAACATCAGATTCGGTATTAGTACATTTTAATCCTGAAATACAAATAAAACTTTTATGTGATGCTTCTGAATATGGGGTAGGTGCTGTTTTAGTTCATGTTTTTTCTGATGGAACAGAAAAACCTATAAGTTATGCTTCAAGGGTATTAACGGTAGCTGAAAGAAAATATGCTGTGATACAAAAGGAGGCTCTAGCTATTTTCTGGAGTGTAAAAAAATTTTCACAATATTTATTAGGCAGAAAATTCATTTTATGTTCGGACCATAAACCATTGTTAGCATTATTTGGGGAACATAATGGCATTCCACGTATGGCATCAAATAGATTACAACGTTGGGCTTTATTTTTGTCAGAATTCGATTATGAATTAAAATATGTGCAAGGCAGAAATAATTGTGCAGCTGATGGGTTGTCCCGTTTACCATTGGAAATTAAAAGTGATGAAAATGATAACGAGTACAGTTATATAGATTTTGTGGAAGGAATGATACCTTTAGATGTGTTGAAAATTAAAATAGAAACAAGGAAAGATACAATACTAAGTAAAGTTTATAGTTGGGTTGAAGAAGGGTGGCCAGAAAAAGTTGATTTAGAATATAAAGGTTATTTTATTAGAAAAAGTGAACTAAATATTGAAAAAGGTGTAATTATGTGGGGCTATAGGGTAATTATTCCAAATAAGTTGAGAATATTTTTATTAAAAGAGATACATAGCACACATGCAGGTATTGCAAAAATGAAATCGGTTGCCAGATCTTATTTTTGGTGGCCTGGACTTGACAAAGAAATAGAAAGTTATGTTAAAAGTTGTGAAGTCTGTGTATCATGTCAGGCTAGTCCAGTAGTAGATAGGCAAGCTAAGTGGGCAGAAGCCGTTGGTCCTTTAGACAGAGTACATTTAGATTTTTTGTATTTAAATAACAAAAATTATTTAGTATGGATTGATGCGTTTACAAAGTGGCCTGAAGTTATAGAAATGAGTAAAATGAATAGTGGGTATTTAATTGAGAAACTGAGGGAGATTTTTGGACGTTTTGGCTTACCAAATAAAATCATTTCTGATAATGGTCCACAATTTCGTTCTAGTGAATTCATAGAATTTTGTAAACAAAATGGAATTGTATTTTATACATCACCACCTTTTCATCCTGCTACAAATGGTGCAGCTGAAAACGCAGTTAAATCTCTTAAAAGAGGAATATACAAGGCATTAAAAGATAAAATTAATAAAGGTGTGACTGTGAGTACATTAATAAACAGATATTTATTCATGTATAGAAACTCACCACATTGGACAACAAATGAATGTCCGGCAAAATTAATGTTTGGGCGAAAGTTAAAAACTCGTTTAGATTTTCTAAGACATTCAAAGATAAAGAAAAATACTGAGAGTTATAAAAATAAAACTATTAGAAATGAAGTTTTCAAGGAAGGAGATGTAGTCTATGCGAGAGATTTTTCTAATCCAAATAAAAAAAATTGGGAAAAGGCAGTGATAGAAGAAGTGTTAGGAAACAGAAATTATATAGTTAGACTTGAAGATAAAGAGTTAGTATGGAGAAGACATATAAATCACATAATTAAGTTGGAAGAATTTAGTAAGTATGATGACTATATAAAAAACTATGAAAAAGAGTTTTTAGAGGAAGTTAAAGAAAAAGAGAAAGAGATAAAAACACAGGAGTTAGAAATTAAAAAAGCTAGTGAAAAAGTTGATGAAAAAGAGAAACAGAATATTACAGATGTTAATGTTAATGATAAAGTTAGTTTACCTGAAGTTAAACAAAATAACGTTAGGCCTGTTAGAAACAAGAAGTCACCTAAACGTTTAGATTTATAAAAAAAAAGTAGAAAAGTATTAGGAAAATGATTTTAAATTGTATAATTAAATAAAAAGATATTGTTTGTTAACATTAAGTATATGATTATTTTGTATTATTATTATGTATTATTTATTTATATTATGTATTATTTTGAATAAGATTTATGTTGAGTTCTGTAACAATATTATGTTTAGCGTTTACTATTAAAATGATGTTTTACATTTAGGATTAAGGTGTTATGATGTTGGCAACACTGTATTTGTACTTGTGTTAAGCTTACTATTAATTTGTTAGTTTATTATGTATGTACGTAACAGTTGTTGACTTGTTGTCATGATGTAAAATAAAAGGAATACATGCTTAACCAGAAAATGAATAATTAAGTTTTGTAATTACCTCACGACATTCCAATAATGTAACAACATAGCGTGCGAACCGAGCGCCGCCGTCGACGCGCGTTTTTTGCCGTTTTTTTCGAAAATTCGAGTTTTAGGCGTTTAAGGGCGTATCGACCTCCCCGTTTGGATCTCATTCGCGTTCCCCAGTAAATTTATAGTCGGCGCGCTGCCCTGTTTTTTCAAAAACGGGTATCCCGGCGGACGAATCGATCACCGAGAGCGCCGCGTCTTCGCCGTTTCGACGGTTTTCTCGACTTTTTCGACTGGAGTCGCGTTTGGCACCTCTACGAGTCTCCCGACCTCCCCGTCGGCGACGTATTCGAGTTCCCCGCTAAATTTATAGCCGGCGCGCGTCCTTACTTTTTCAAAAACGAGTCCAGGGGAGTTTAAAAGTGAACGGAAACGTGAGTAGGTACCGATTACGTATCGCTATATACAGGCATAAATACATGCGTCTCGGGGTTCGATTTTTTTTTTTGCAATTCTCTCGTTTTATACGTCCTAGGGCCGCGGAGCCGGTAGTCCGCTTCCCGACGCGGTCGGATCACCCGCTACGACACCCTTTGACTGACGACCAAACGGCGTTCGCCTTTCGCGGGGACGGCGACGCGGCTTAATAGTCATAGATTTGACTCCAGTTTACAACTCAGTAGGTGGCTCGGTAGGTTAGGCGTTAGGTTTGGATACTCGAGGTCGTGCGTTCGATTCCGGTCCCCGGGATTATCGATAATTTGCGGCGGCCGTGTTAAAATCGGAATTTTTTTCTCGCGTTTTTTTTTTCGTCGTTTCGCCATCACTTCCGTCTTATCATATTTAACGAAAATGTTCCGATTTTTTTCAAAATTCGAGTTTTACCGCCTCTACGGACTTCGGACCTTCCCGTCGAAGACTTATTCGAGTTCCCCGTCAAATCATTTAGCAGAGCGGACAGTGTCTTTATTACTTTACACGGGCGTGAATATTTGCGTCGAAGAGTTCGATGTCTTTTTTTTTGCCGTTTATTTCAAAAATTCGAGTTTTAGCCCCTCTCGGTCGTATTACCCTCCCCGTTTGAATCTTATTCGCGCTTCCCGCTGTATGTATTGCCGGCGCGAGGTTTTACTTTTTTACAGACGAGTCCCGGTGAGGTACGGCGTCGCGGAAACGAGAGTAGGTACCGTGTATATATAGGCTGTATAAATACATGCGTCGAGTCGTTTTTTTCTAAAGTCCGAGTCCGGGCCGTATTCCGTTCCCGGCGTGCAAACCGAGCCAGTTTTAACCATTTTCGACACGTCTGCCCTAGTGCCCTCCCCGTTGACGACTTATTCGCCTCCCCCGCTACACATCGAGTCCCGGGGCGGAGCGGGTTCTCTGAAACGAGACGGCCAAAATTGCCGCCATCGAGTAGGCATTACTATAATGTACAGGCATGAATTCATGCGTCGGAAGGTGCGATTATTTTTCGTGAAGATCGCGTTTTTGCTGTCCGACGCGGTAGGATCGCCGGCTACGAGGCCCTTTGATGGACGTCAAAACATGAAATAATATATACTATATACTGCTGCAAATTCTATATAATCCGAATCAATTAACAAGCCTGGAAATAATTAAATTCCATAATGACAGGACTATATATTATATATGAGTATTGTTTAACATGGCCTGGATTATATTGGAATACATACGATTATATTTTATGCGTGTCGGACGGTCAATAATCACGATAATATCAACGATACACGCAATGCTACAGTATGACCATTATTCATTGATACGGGTTGGTCGTCGGTGTGTTGACGACGTGCGGGGGACAACTTTTGCGACGCGAAACGCGCTCGTGTGTCTAACGTCATCTTGTGACGAACGCCCATGCAACACACAACTCAAGCGCAATGAAAAATATAATATAAAAGCTTACACAGTTATACCTTTAATATATTAGCTTTTCTTGGCGTATTGTGTTCCGCGTTGGGCGCTTTTCAAAACCGGTAAGTACAATTTTGAAATACATAATAGTATAACGTTTGTATGGCCCGCGTACCTACTGGCTTATTCATGACATTGTACGTACACGAGCTGGATTCATCTTCTTTCATTCGTGTACGATGCGTTTCCGTACACACGATATTGTTTATTACTATATTATTATACACGCCATTTACACCTTTACGCGTTTCGTGTTCAATATTAATACGACATTTGTATTTCCGCTTGCCGTGTTCATATCCGGACATAGACTTAAACGCCTACGTTCGCTACGTTTTAAACGACGATTTTTGCAGTTACGACTTGCAATACCATAATATCGTGTGTTACTTTTGTTTAGTTCATACCCAATAATAATATTATATACCTACCGTGTACAAATAATACAATTTATTGCATTGATTCTAAAAATAAACACACAACACCGGATTATTCACTGATAACATAGGTACTGATAAGATAATTCCATCACACGAACACTGTAACGGAGTATAACTTAAATTGGTCCTTTTCAGGACCACTACCAACTTAGACTGACACACAACCACGCGGGGTGTAATAACAAAAGCTAGATTCTATAGAAATATATTTCACCAGTATGACGAGGGAAAACCGCACTAAACCAATAGCAACCACCAGGAAACGATGCGGTTTTAACTCGTCATTCAGCACCTCATCAGCTAATCAGAATCGTCGACGGTGAATTTAAGAATATATATACCGGGACAATTCACCAAATCATCATCAGTCTTCAACATCTTCTCAAACATTCAACAACATAACTTGTACAGAAGAACCGAAGATAGAAGACCACACACAGCCAGTTTCCAACTCTGACCGCCACCGACGACAAGACAGCCGACGATTCCGACCAGTCCGACCGCCGAGCAACGTGCACCCACGGAAGAACGTAACGGAGACGACCCGGCCCACTATACCGACCGACGTATTCAAAGCACCGACCACCGGAACCACGGTTTCGACGAAAGCTTCATCGAACGACGAGACGAGAACTTCACGAACCTGAATCGGCGTAATTGATCCTCGACGAGTCCACCTCACGATCGAGACCGAACCCAACGACTTCTACTCGATACGCAGCTGACACGACGACGCCGACGGGGTAACCACCAGACCTCGAGGACGGAGGACACTGACGCCTGCCCGATTCGGCCGACCAGTAGCAGTCCCAGACGCCGAGGAAACAACCCATGATCCGTAGACGACCTAAGCACTTCTCGCAACGACTGTAACCCACCAGCGACGCGGAGCCAGCCACAAGGAACAACGACCACCTCACTCGGTTAAGCCGAGTCCAGGCACGAAACACCATCTAACCCAATAGTGGCACGGCAGCCACCGACGAAAACCGCCTATCGGGCAAATATATTTGTATTATTCATTTTCTACACAATAAAGGGACATAATACCAATACCTCATTGTGTTGACTTTATTCTACGACACGGGCAGTCATACTGCACCGTATCAACACGGAGTTTTACTCATATTATTTATTATAATATATAATAATATATAAAATGTTTAGCCATTACTTTTTCATATTATATTGTTATTATATAATATCTTTTTAGGCAAATATAACAATGGTCAATCATTGTGTGATTTGTGGCAACGTCGACGGAGCGAATGACGTTTCAGTGCATGGGTATTTATCTAATATACCTACCTATTATACGTACTATTACGTACGATTAATTTTGAGATTTAAATACATAATAATTCATAATACCATGTTTGCATTAGATTTCCAGCAAACGTCGATCGGACACGTCAATGGGTGATGTTCGCCGTGGACAATGGTGTCAATGCTCGACAGATATTGGCTCATTCCAAGTTGTGTTCGAGGCATTTTGTAGCAGGTCGTGATTACCACGGAGCAGCTGACGTCGCCGTCGACTGATTGCTGGAGCAGTGCCGTCAGTAGTGAGTAACAACCGACATAAAACCTTTGATCACTGTATTAATTCACTCACTTGATCATTACACTACTATGCTCACTAATACTGTGTGCATTAAAATATCACATATCATGTGTTTATTATTTCAATATACCCAGGTGGCAGGTATTTTACAGTGGCTACGGTTTGATACTATACTATAGGTACTTGCATTAAGTTATTGTTGTTGGTTAACATTCTGTATTAAATTATACTCTTTTTTAATTGCTTTTATTATAAATACTAATACAACTAATACCACTACTACTACTACTACTATTACTAAGTAGTGTCTGACCTACGGTTAAAAATCCGTACATGCTTAATTATTCACTGTGCTCTTAGATACATATTATATACATTGTTTACATAACAGACTACTATACCTACCATACTATACTGGCTCGGTACAACATTCTTCAAAACTAAATCTCTATTTTAATAAAGTAAATTGTAGTATAACTTGAACGACATTCTATTGTCTTACCGCTGTTTCAAATTTCAAATGCATATCTAACTATACTAACATATCAACTTTAACAAAATACTTAAACATTTTCTTACATCTTACTACTACTACTACTACTACTTCTACCACTACTACCACAATTACTTACTACTGACCTAGGTCATTTGTAAGTTGTGTACTAGATATGTAGTACTCTTATAAATAACACTTACTGTTATACAGTAATACGTTTTTACAATGTTTCAAAGTTAGAAAGATTATAACTATGTATGAATGCTCAACCAATTATACATTCTTCTGTGAATTTCTTTGTTTTTTGATTGGCTCTTGATTTTAGATTATACTACGATGTAAAAGATTGTACCTATTAAGGTTAGGTTAAGCTTTGAGTATTGATTTGACGTTCAATATTTAATATTGTACCGACTATAAACTCAAGTTATAACTATCAAGTTATTGTGGTTGGATTTAATAGTTCATTCAACCGAACATATGTGTTTTATCATAGTGTTCAATATTCTTTACTTTATTTATAGTGGTGATAGATATAGGTGTACTTGATCTTATCTCATAGAAGACATAAACCTTACATTCAACTTATCCTATAAGAATTTCATAAAAATGCACTTATTGATTATGAGTGTACACGGTATAACACATGAGCACATTACACCTAACCAATACAAGATTATATTAAATATGTATGAACACACAACCATTAAAAATTCAACTCACCGTATTTTAACTTTTATTATAAGTGTTTACAAGCAACGAACGAAATACTTATACTATTTACTTCTGTCTACTCTCCTTTAATTGTTATCATTTCATATGTGGTACTCTTAGACACGTTTATAATATTTAAATGCCTATATAATTTCATATAAATGCACTTAACCATGCTACATTACCCACAAACTATAGATTACCTATGTTTACATAACTGATATTGTATACTTAATATTGTGTTTATACAGTAAAATGAAAGTAATGATATACATTCTACTCTTGGTTTTTATTATACGTTGTTACTAATACGTTAGTACAGCATAGATACATATTATATACATTATTTCTGGACCTACTTATACTTTTCTATACTATACTGGCATATTATAATTGTATAAAAATTTAATTGTAGAACGACATTCAATTGTGTTACTCCTGTTTCAGGTTTCGATTGCATATCAAACACTGGGTCAAGCTTATTTTAATACCTACATTAACTTATAACTATACTAAGATATCAACTTTTACTATGGGGGGTATATTGACCTAAACAGAACACTTAACGTTTTCTTACACAGTTTTCAATATTACTACTACTAATACTTACTTAGTACTTAGGTCTACTCTCCTTTATTTGTAAGTACCAATGACAAAAAGTAGTGTCTAACCTACGGTTGAAATTTGTTACATGCTTAATTATTCACTGTGCTCTTAGATACATATTATATAAATTGTTTCTGTACACAACTCTTTGTGAATTGTATACTGGATAAGTATTTATCATTTCACATATTGTCTTATTGTTAGCAATTTATACAACTAACTTTGTTTGTACTACAGTGTAACATATTTATTACTATATTCTTCTTTATATTGTTGGAGGTTAAAATTCTGTATTAAATTACCCTTTATTTTTATTCATTTTGTTAAAATGATAAATTGTATATCCACTCCTACGAAATAGGTAGTGTAAGTCACAGTTAACTCTCTGTTGGGTATTTACAACCAATGAACAAAATAATACTACTACTACTACTACTACTACTACTACTACTACTACTACTACTACTACTACTACTACTACTACTACTACTACTACTACTACTACTTACTACTGACCTAGGTATACTCTCCTTTATTTGTAAGTTGTGTACTAGATAGGCATTTTATCATTTAACATGTGGTACTCTTAGAAATGTTTTTATTATTTCAAAAGTTAATACAATAGATTTGTTTACGTTTATTCCGTGTTAATATTCACTGTGATCTTAGATACATATTATATAAATTGTTTCTGTACATGACTTAGATTACTCTACTATACCTACTTATACTTTACTATACTGCACTGGCTCGGTACAACATTCTTGAAAACTAAATGTCTATTTTATCATAAGAATCAACTTTATTATCTATATTTTATCAACTTTTACTATATTGACTTAAACAGCAGAACACTTGACACATTTTTCTAATGTTACTACTACACAAAGTTGGTATTACTAGACTCTTTACTAACCTCTCCTATACTGGATAAGTGTTTTATCATTTAGGTGTACTTGATCTTATCACATTGAAGACTCTTAAGTATTAGTGTAACATAAACTTATCATATAATAATTTCGTATAAATGCACTTATTGCATATGAGTACATACACTTACTGTTATGTATGAACACACAACCATTAAAAGTTCAACTCACTGTATTTTAACTTTTATTATGGACATTTACAACCAACGAACAAAATATTTTCTTATCACTACTACTACTGCTACTACTAACATTACTTACTACTGAGCTAGGTCATTTGTAAGTTGTGTACTAGATAAGTTTTTTAGAATTTCACATGTAGTACTCTTAGAAATTAACAAAGAAATTTACAGAAGAAAGTATGATTGGTTGCGCCTCCATACATATTTTTTAACAACAATAACTTTGAAACATTGTAAAAATGTATTGTACTGTATAACAGAAAGTGTTATAGTGCAATATGTTTTTACAATGTTTCAAAGTTATTGTTGTTAGAAAGATTATAAATATCTATGAATGCTCAACCAATTATACTTTCTTTGTTTTTTTGATTTTCTCTTGATTTTAAAGATAAAATTTATTTATTTTTAACTATAACAAAAGTAAGTTTATCTGCTTACTTATTACATGACAATTTTAGATTATACTACGATGTAAAAGATCGTATTAAGGTTACGTTAAGCAGGGCTTAGATATAGGTGTAGTTAACTTGATCACATTGAACACACATTTAGCTAAATGTACTTCTCTTTTTCTCCTATTTTCTCTTATTTTTACCTACTTGTTTATAAAATTACTTAAACGAGGATAACATCTATACTGATACACACGACATTAATTCCTGGTTAAACAATAATTATATTATGCATTGGAAATAAAATACTCTAAACTCAACCAAACTTTTAGGTGTTCGGGGACATCCAGATGGATGTGGTGGAGGCCGTGGAAGTGGCAGAAGTCCAGATGGAGGTGGTTGAGGACATGGAAGTGGTAGAGGACGTGGAGTACGTGGAAGTGGTAGAGGACGAGGAATTGGTGGAGTACGTGGAAATGGTCGACGACGGGTTGGAGGACGACTTCCAAGTAGTTGAGGTGGAAATGGTCGACGACGGGGTGGAGGAAGTGGTGGAGGACGACTTCCCGGTAGAGGATATTGAGTACGTGGTAGTGGTCGAACTACCCAGAGTGCGTGCGCCAATGATTTACCGGCAGGCGGGAGTGACACATCGGCTTCCAGAGCGCCACGACGCGGGCGCGTTGGACAGAGTCTGCAGACATTGTTACGCCCGCCACTTCAGTGAAGAGCAAACGTCCCGGGGTCATTTCTACACGTGTTGTAACAACGGCCAAGTGGTCGCTGCAGGACAACACGCGTTGTTGCCCGTTCCCTATTTAATTCAGAGTTTGTTTATAGATGATTCCCAGGATGGCCGTAGATTCCGGGCGGACATTCGGCGGTACAACAACGTTCTGGCATTTGCTGCGTTTACCTGCGACGCAAACGACAGGCGTTTGCCAGGGCGGGGACCGCCAGTGTGGATTGTCCACGGACAGACCTATCGGAGGACCAACAATGAGGTGGCCGTTGCCCCGGGAGGTGCCAACAACTGTCAGTTGTATTTCTTGGAGTCCGGAGAGGCCAAC